GTTTGGCGGAAGGGCGGGCCTGCTTGTTTTTCTTAGATTAGGGGACTAACACACTAAAGATTAGTATGTCACGTACTAACCAAACATACTGAACTTTAGTATGTAACATACTAATTTCATGCAATAGTGGATTACAGAGGGAATAGTACTCATACCGGGTTCGTATTATAGTAAACAATCCCCGTAAACGTAAGTATACTACTAGGTAGATGTACGCCAGACCACGTCTCGCGTAACAGGCTTCGCGATATCTCACGAAACACTGTTACGCAGCGACGCGCCTGGCATACATCTACCTAGGCCTGCGGCGCTGACACCCGAGTCGGACAAAAGGCAGAGTCGTAGATAGGCCTTTGGCTCCAAACAAATTTTGGAAACAAATTTTACCCCCAGGATTTTATTTTGACGAGTTGCCCCACCAGAGACTGTCAAATATCTGAGAAACAACATTAAAATGGTTTGGGGTCATTTTCGTGTGGACATCGCCCTCTGGCGACTGAACGGTTTGAGATAGAGCCAAACGGACAAAATTTTGGTCCTACGGGTTCTACCTTGACGAGTTACGTCTTAGAAAGATGTAAAAAAAATAGAGGTAATATTTTGGGGCCTTTGGGCGCCTCCAGCGCTACGAATATTACGCCCGCCTGCGGTTGGGGGAGCGCAGACCTAGCTATACGTGCGTCAGGTGTTGCAGCGGAATAGTTTTGTGATATCGCGAACAGAGGGTAGCGAAAGAATTTAAATCAAGAATCTATCTTGAAAGCAGATGATACAAGTTTAAGAATATTAGGTCTGTTTCCAATTTTCTGTCATATTTGGCTGTCGTTTGTTTTTGGTTGCTTGTTACTTGCAATTTTGCAATGCGGCGTACAAGCGGCGTTGAGGAGGAGAAAATGCGCGGGCATCGGTGGGCTAGTATTGTTGTGCAGAGACGGGGGGACGGGGAGCCTGTAGTATTGTTTATTGTTAGGGAGGGTAAGGGTAGAGGCCTGACGCGAACTTCAGCCACTCACTTACTTGGACACGGTCCCCCTAGCGACAAAATAATTGTTTTCTGGTCTGCACTAAGTTCTCTGTACTAATCGAGAGCAAAAGCTAGCTAACACCTTAAAGTTACTTATAGATTCTTTATGCTTAGTCTAAAGGTTTTTAAGGGGGCAGACCTGTAAAAATCATCATTTTTTAAATTTTTAATGCCTCAAAAAATTCTTTCAGTTTTCCTCTTTCTACTGCCGCAAAGCGGATGTTGAAATCCGAAAAATTGCGCTCTGGAGATTAAGGATCGACACTTTGTTATTAATCTACTATACTGAGACTACCTCCTATACATCTATGTTATGTTTACACCCAAGTCTCAGACGACATTTTGGCACTGAGTAGGTTATTGTGACAGCTGATGTTATGGCACATGGCAGGAGATTTTGCCACTCTGCTGACGTCAGCAGGAATACACCTGCATTGTTGTCAGTAGACTTGGGTAGACTGCCAAGTTTTTAAGTACCGTTCTGGAAGTGTTATCAATTAAAATTGGACTAAGTAGTGACAACGGGAACTTCCTTAGGCGTTGCCTTAGAAGCACTGTCCTCATTTTAACTTTTGCCCAGAATGTGGCAGTACATACAAATATAAGAAATTGACTTTATTATTACAAAATTACAGAAGATATATGTTTTTAAACGAGACAAAGGACTTATTTCTTGTGAAACCATAAGAACACAGAAACTTTATTACATGTTAGTACAAAACTATCACTCATCCAACGACAGTAACTTAAACGATTAAAAAACAGGAAAAAAGATGATGAACAAACTGTCACACGTAAATTTATTTGAGGCCTTTTCAAAATACAACACGGATAGGGGTTCCAATATCTCTTGCACCACTGGAACGCACTAAGGTCGCAGCGCTGCTTCACTGACAGATCGCACGCGAGGCATATTAAATCTGAAAAAAAAAAAACAAAGATTATACAACACAAAAACCTTTTGGGAAGTAACCAAAAATATTCAACAAAACAAAAGGCATTTAGCCGAAAACCTTGAAAAACATGTGATTACTTGTTAACCTGTTACGAAGTTGTCCATTTGATTGATGTGGTGACTTGACCAGGGAAAGGTGGAGCGATTTCCTACTAACATATTGGCAGTGTGATGCAGTATGAGCATTAATGCCTGTTGCACCACAAATTTCACACCTGCAATCGATTTAAATACAATTCTAGAGCAAAAGTATGAATAAATCACCATAAAAAATTCTAAAACCATTTTAGGACGAAGTTGTGTTTTTGAAGGACTGGGCACTCTACATAAAGACGCCCAATCGGTTGTCTTGCATGGAGATTGTGGCTTCAGTACTGAACTTCAGTCTCTCCGTTTCTCTTACAAAACGAACCAAATACCAGCTGTGAAGATAAACAAATTAAAAAATTAGTAATACTTTAGACTATTATTTTATTCACATGTAAATTTCTGTTTGGGTCATTTCCTGGCAACTTAAAGCCGTCAATCAGCCCATAACCTAACAAATATTCAATACTTGTTTTGTGGTGCCTGACTAGGAGGCTGATGGAGTACATTTAAAGACTAACCTCTTGACACGATCGGCTCCGTAGTGGCAATGATGTGGTATATATATCTAGCGCCTCAACGGTTTGAGCTAGAGCAAAACGGACAAAATTTTGGTCAAAAGGGCTCTACTTTGATGAGTTACCCCTTAGGAAACCATAAAAAAATATTTTTAAAAAACGTCACTTTTGGGACCTGTTGTTTTTGATTTTTTTTAAAATCCGATTTTTGAGGTAGAATGCTTATCTTCGAACTCGATCTGTCTTTTTATGACACAAAACGACCCTGAAAATCCCAAGTCGTTTGCTCAATACAGCATTCCGGTAAAGCTGAAATGCAGAAGAATGCGGGGAA